ATTGCATGAACTTTTTTTAAAATCAAGATAGTTGATATTGTAATGTTTTTGTATGAAAAGTGTTGTATAAATGTTTTTCTCATTTTATTTCTGTTTATAATGGGGGTATAACGATACATTCATTCATCAGTATTGAGTCTCAAGCTCGCGATGCATGCTTCAAAACATGTCCATAGTACGATAAAAAAAAATCATATATGTTGGACGTCATATTTTCACAAGAGCCATACAGCCACTATTGGCCACTACATTTGCCAAAATAAAAACTGATTCTTGAATGGAATCATCACCCTGAATTATGACAATAAATCGAATTGCTGGGAGGGTTAATCATTACATCCCTTGTTTGTTATTATTGTGGACTTTATAATTTAACATTTTGGTGCAAAGTGTTTGCCCCATCTTCTCTGGAAAAAGAGGCTCTGATTCAGTATGATGTGCATTGCATTAAATAAAAACCCGGATTTGGGCGTTGAACGATATATTGTGGCTAAAATATACTTAAGACATCAAAGGAATATACCAGAGATATACATTGAGTCATCAAGTAAAAGGGAAATTTGTCCTGTAAAACACACACTTTCAGTTTAAATGGCTTCAGAAAGTTTAGTATGTAATCATGGACAATATTTTGAAAAGTCAGATGATAAGGAATTGACAGTGTCAATCCAAAAATGCATGGTGATATGGGGCACCTCCGTGCGGACCCTGTAATTCGCAATGCACCGTAAAGAATCTCAATATCCTTGACGATAAATCAGTGCACAGCACACTTTAGGATAAATTATCCATGCAACTCCAGTAATCCGTGAACATTTGTGGATTATAGGATGAGCATGGCACTTGGCTAATGACGTCATAAATAAATGTAAAAACCTGCATATTATAGGGTGTTCACAACAATTTCAACCTAAATGGATAACATCTGGGAATATGGGTCTACAATAAAGGCAGATTGGAATTTTGGACTTAATATCCAAGTGAAAATAAAAAAAGCAAAAATCATTAAATACTTAACAGACCACATTAGCACAGTTAATGCTATGAACCAAAAACAATGATTGTTTTATGCACGTTTGTCTCTCTGCATCTCCATTGTCTCACTGCATTTTTATTTTTGTAACTCCATTTGTCTATCAGTATTTCCATTTGTTTATCTCCATTTGTCTCTTTGTATCTTCGTTAGTCTCTCAGTATCTCTGATTGTCTCTATCTGCATCTGTCGCTTTATCTCAGACTCACAAAGAGACATTTATAGAGATGTGTGTTTAAGTGCTTCAAACATGTATTTCTTTGTGTGTGTGAAGCACCGGAAAGGGAATTCTGGGGTATAAAAAAAAGCCGCTGTAGTTAAAAAAATACCTTGCCTTCGCAATTTCTTGCAAATTGTCGGAGGAAATAAGCCGCCTATAATATATAATCCGTAGACTTTCACAGATGATATACGTTTTAGAGGCCAGACAAATAATCTACCTGTGATAATGAAATCTTATGGTTTACTTGCATATATTAACAATTCTAATTAACAAAAATAGATGTATTTAGCTGCTGTGTTTTATTTGTATTATTTTATTATTCCCCTTCTACGTGACTTTACCGAAAGATTCAATAATATTTAGATGCTGTTTTTTATTTTAACTCTTTAATTGAAAATGGTAAGGGTTAAGGAATCACAATTTCCATCTGTCTGCGAGTGCTCTCGCGACCATAATTCTTAACCGATTTTGATAGGACAAGCATGAAAAGTTTTTCAGGGTTTTGAGAATGTTCAAACTGTTGGGCATGAAATCCAACATCTTCGAATAAATCGGAGCCATTTGCCCTCCCCAAATGAGGGGGTTGAGTTACCTTGCAATTCTCTAAGAGTTGAACACGTGTGAGGCTTTCGCGACCAATATTATTCACAATCAACGTTTTTGGGTTTAGATCGCGTTATTTATAAATGTGTCGTAAACCTCCACCACCCGACACGGCCAATCAGTAAAAAAGTGTCACGTTGAAAAAGGACAAATAGTTCACTGCCTTAGCCCACCGGTGTGTTGAAGCGTGAAACCACAACATTTACAATTTGAGTACGACGTTTCGCTGGTAATTGCATCCAGCATCATCGGGCAATTCTCTAAGAGTTAGAAATCTGTTATATGATACAATTTGAGCACCCCAAAATGGGGGAAGGTAATTTAAATAGCATTTCTAAAAAGTGGCAGAAAGCTGAAGTTCAAAACAAATAGCCAATGTGATGCTTATAACTAGAAAAGAAATATAATTTTGACCCTGAATTTGAGCCCATAAAAATACGCATTTTTATATAACATACAGGTAAAATAATGATTATTTAATCGCAGCAGTGATCCTTTATGTTATTCAGAGGAAGTGTAATTGTGATTACAAAAGTAATAACATGCAGATGTTCTACATTTCTATGTTCCATCAAATTTAAATAGGAATTCAATAACAAATCATAACAGAGTTTGATGCAGCCCTTCCATCAATATAAATCTTCCAACTGCAAACTCAACTTATTGTTGTAACTGTTATGCTATTTAGTGTCAATAACAATGTTAGGTACTGCATCAAAATAGTGTGTTTATTTAAGTTATTAATTCCTTTGAATTAATTCATACGAATTAATAACTGAATAATTAATAACACTGAGTGGTACGTCCACATGGCAAGCAAGAACATAGTATATATGCAAGTGCAGTACGGTATATCTGTAAAACGTGTTTATAGGAATATCTGATCAATACATATTGAAATGTAACGTTAACCCTTTCCGATTTTATTTAATCTCCATGATTATGAAATGTGCAAATTATTTTGATTTCACAGAATCTATGAGGCACGTGCATGAGCTACACGTAACCTGCATGTGTAGTAATTAGATGTTGAAAATATATTTCACTGGTTGAACACGGAAGTCAATTTCATTTTTAAGGAAGTAAAAGCTTTCTCAATGCTTAAAATGATTGAATGTCTTAGAATAAAATCATGATTGTGTTAATGGGGGATGCAAGATAAGGCAAATTCCTCGTAGAAAAAAGTCTACACCCAATTTAACAAATGTGAGATGTTATCCTTACCAACAACATACATTTTATTTTCCACCATGCCAATAAGAAGAGAAAGAGTCAATTCATTTTTTATGAATTGCACAACAGACCAGACGCTTTTTAGATTATAATTTGAGTATACCATGGTTCTATTGAGATCATTTAATTTAGAAATAAATGTATGAAATAGAAATATCTCTTGAACACTTAGAGTGCATCCTGCTAAAAAAGAGATATCCTGGTCATGTTTACCAGTCTCTGCAGACCAGCAGATTCACATCCTTAATCCATAGCTGTCGGTAACATAAACAACAATTCCGCATGTTAACTACCAGACAATTAAATGTGGTAAGTGGAACCTGCATACACTCCCGGCAACATGACAATGTCAGGGCCAACCCCGCGTGATTGGTGGTGACTGAGAAGCTTCAAGTAGCTATGTTTGCATTGGCAACTCTTCCTTGGCATCCTCACTGCCAGTGCCATTGAAATTGCTCCTACAGCAGCCATCAGTCGTGGCAACATCACATAGTGAGGTGTCTCGTGGGGGGTAGAAGCAGGGTTAGCAGCAATTGGGCAGCCAGATGTGAGAGTGGCTACGTGTGTACAACACCAAGTGTGTTTCCCACGGTGCATGCACCACTCTCCTATGCCCCACCGGTCCCCCCTGACTGTATCTTCTGACCAGCTCGGAACTGGTAAGACTGACATGCACATGGAAACAATGAGCCAGTGATTATTTTAGGCATGCAAACTCCCGTCGGCATACCCATAGATAATGCCACCCATGCACCCTTTAGCAGTCATGCTACAACAGCACGGGTTGGTTTTTGCCAGCTGTATGTGAAGATGGCAACTTGGATGTTGGTGTGAACTGCTCGCAAAAACAGCCATGAGCTGCTAGTCCCACCAAATTTGTATGCACATGTTAATCACATCTTTATTCTTCTCAAACATAACCCAACCCTGATATCTCTGTAGGATTAGTGCTCCATTGTTTAAATATCTTGTTCCATATGTTTCATGTTTAGAGCATGATGATAAATAAATGTCTCCCCACAGTTTGCATGTAAATGCGATTTAAACAGCTGGTTTCTGTTTGCAGCAAGATTTGTTTTGTTTATGTTGTGATGATAATTTTCAATTAATGTTTCATGTTTATTACATCTTGAGGATGCAGAACACATTTAGATGCTGTCATATCAAAATTGTATTGTTTTGAATGTCGGCCAACATATATTGACCACTTGACTTACTGTATAACCCCCAAATGTCCACAAATCAGAGCCTCTTAAATACGATTCATTCAGCAAGAGATTAAAACATTGAGTGTTACTCTCTCAAGATGACAGCGCCTAATCTCGCGCATTCGCAGGGCGTGGCAATTTCTGGTGTCACATTGAGAAGGGAACCAGCTCCCTCCGCTGGCATCTCTTATATCCCGAGTCAAGCCCCACTGGGCTAAGACGCTCTTTTTGAAGACTCACAGACGGAGGCTGTCCAATATCAAGTCCCATGTTGCACTCTTTTGAACTGTGTTTACTTACAAGTCCCATATTCTGTGTAATAGATTGTTTAAATATTTTTTTTTTTTTTACCAAATTGCCTAAATAACATCTAACTCGTAAATTGTAAGTGCACGTTGTATTAATATACTTCTCTGTGTAAAGTAATGCAACTGATATACGTAACAATGTGATTGGCAAATAACAGGCTTAAGAATGATGGGAAAACGGATTTATTCACGTAAATGATTACCTCTTTCAGTATGTTGCCATTGATGTTTCTAGGTCTTTTAAATGATCCTCCTTAACATGTATGCGAATTAAATACAAAGCTTAATCTATATGCCTGCATGTTTGCTTCCTGTATGTGGATGCATTGCAGAATATCGTTGCGTTGTGTATTCTGCTTATTCGTTATTTCTTATGGCTGTTTTCATTTTAGAAAGAAGGTGAAATGGTGGAAAGAAGACCCTTTTCCATACGCTCCTCACTCTCATGCCCCTGCCAGGTTTCCCTTCTCATGGTGGCAATGCTAACAGCAATATGGGGTACTGCAGAGTGCTGCCCCTCGCGCTGTGAGTGCTTGCCCTCTCCCAACTGGTCGGTTGTTTGTCATCGCAAGCGACTTCTTACCATCCCGGATGGAATACCCATAGATACAAGGGTATTGGATCTCAGCAAGAATCGTCTGAAGTGCATCAATTATGGAGATTTTTCAGGCTACCCACAACTGCAGGAGTTAGATCTCCATGAGAATGTAATCTCTAATATTGAGCCAGGCGCGTTCAACAACCTGCACCATCTGCACACTATTCATCTGCAAAGCAACCGCCTCAAGCTCATCTCCATGGGTGTGTTTTCTGGACTGCAAAACCTGACACAACTGGACATTAGCGAGAACAAAATAGTTATTCTACTCGACTACATGTTTCACAATTTGCACAACCTGCGTTGGCTGATGATGGCTGAGAACGATGTGGTCTACATCTCACAACATGCATTTAGTGGGCTATACAGTTTGGAACAACTGACATTGGAGAAATACAATTTAACTGTGGTACCCAGAGATTCTCTCATGCATTTGCATCGGTTGAAAGTGCTGAGACTCAAATACATGAATATACATTCCATCCCACCTTATTCCTTTAAACGTCTTGTACGGCTGAAGGTTTTAGAAATCGACCACTGGCCCTACTTGAGCCGTCTGCCTCCCAAGAGCCTCTATGGCCTAAACCTGACATCACTCTCTGTCACCCACTGCAACCTGACTACATTTCCGCATGCTGCCATGCACCATCTTGTATATCTACGCTACCTGAACCTCTCTCATAACCCTTTAGGTGTCATTGAAGCACATGCACTATCTGACCTTGTGCGGCTCACTGAGCTGCATGTCAGCAATGCACAGCTGTTAGCCATCGAGCCGCAGGCATTCAGTGGGCTTCTGCACTTACGCGTCCTGAACACATCTGGAAATCTTCTCACGACACTGGAAGAGAACGTTTTTCAGGCTCTGGGAAACCTGGATGTGCTCCGTCTGGATGGAAACCCGTTGGCCTGTGACTGCCGCCTGTTGTGGATCCTTCGCCGGCGACGTCGCCTCAATTTTGACGGACATCAGCCGATCTGCGCTACCCCGGACTACGTGCATGGGCAGGAGCTGAAGGTATAATGCAGCAGAGCCCACTGAGACACACCTCTTATATGCATTGGTGATGAGGTGCACTTCTTCACCCACAGGTCAAACCATACCCGTTAAATAAAATGTTCCTGGTACAAATCATGAGCTAAGGTAAGTGCACCAAAATATATTGTTGTACTGTACTTCTATGCCCTCAAATTTTTTTTTTCTCCCACCTTCACCCACCCACACCGACGAGTGTGGTGAAATATGGCCTAGATGCGTTGAGAAGGCCCTCGTCTAGCAGTGGATATGACATTATGACAAGTCATAGTCTCCTCACATTCTATTTAAAATGTTTGTGTCACCGGGTAGAGTGTCGTGGTTATCGTTTACGCTTGCGCTACGAACCCGGCCACCCGGGTTCAATTCCCCCTCACGGCCAACACCGGCGACGATTATCTGAACCGGTCCGGGGCCTCCCCTAGGTCGACTCAGCCTCAAACGAATATCTCGTGCGGTGTGTAAACATTGCCACTGGAGAGACAAAGGTGGCCGGGCGTGGTTTCGTTCGTTCAAGTCTTTCAGCTGCCATTTAGACAGGATTTATAAATGCAGCAAGCACCTTATAACGGCTCATGAATGTTGAGGACATCTGCGAAAGTGCTGCTGTCTCTTTTTGAGTGTCAGGAATCGCTGTCCACTGAAGCTAATGCTAGGTACCCATGGTGGCGAGATGTTGTCTCCCTCACATGGTATACAGGAGGTCGTGGGTTCGAACCCAACCCTGATGGAGTTTGCATGTTCTTATGGAATTTGAATGTTCTCCTCGTGGTCACGTGGATTTTTATCCAGGTCCTCCGGTTCCCCCCCCCCCCCCCCATTTAGAAACATGCGTTTAGAGTATTTACCTGCTATACATTTCCACATAAGCCACTTCGTTGAGCTATCCATTTGTGGCCAGGTCGCTTCTGAAAAAGAGCTATATCGCTCAGTGGGCCTTACTTCGTAAAGTAAAAAAATATATCATCCTTTGCCAGTACCAAAATATAATAATAGGGTTTTTCCCCTTTTTTCTGGCAACAAAACTGACACCTTTTGCAAGGAATCATTTATACATTAACCACAATACTTGCAGTCAAATGCAAACAAAAAACAATACTCTGATAATTGGTGCATTGTCCTTGAAACTGATTGGTGTTCGACTAGATGACTGGCTGCCCCGCCCATGCTGTTTATGCTGCATAAGCTCTCCTCCCAGAGGTGTGGACTCGAGTCATGTGACTTGGACTCGAGTCAGACTCGAGTCATGAATTTGATGACTTCAGACTCGACTTGGACTTGCATAACAATGACTTTGTCCCACCTCTGAGGTGTGGACTCGAGTCATGTGACTTGGACTCGAGTCAGACTCGAGTCATGAATTTGATGACTTCAGACTCGACTTGGACTTGCATAACAATGACTTTGTCCCACCTCTGAGGTGTGGACTCGAGTCATGTGACTTGGACTCGAGTCAGACTCGAGTCATGAATTTGATGACTTCATACTCGACTTGGACTTGCATAACAATGACTTTGTCCCACCTCTGTCTCCTCCCCCCAACTCTCATCCCCCACACACTCACGTTGGAAACCCTTATACGCATATTCTTTGGGTCTTTCGGTAAAGCCACGTAGATAGAAAAAAATAACAATATCACGACGTTTCGATCGCAACACAAGCAATCGTCTTCAGGTGAAAAAAGAGAATATTAATTCCTGCAGTCACGAAAGCTTTAAGTCAAGATTTGCCCTTATAAGCGGTTGCATTTGGAGGCTTGCCCTCTTTTCTCTCCGCCTGATGAAGACGGCTTGTGTTGCAATCGAAACGTCGTGGGTTTTTTGCTTTATTGTAATTTTGTTTTTTATTTTATTTTCTATCTAAGTGACTTTAGCTAAAGAACCAAGAATATGAATTCCTGCAATCACGAAAGTTTAAAGTCAAAAAATAGTTTCGTTAAATTTAAACTTTAATTGTGCCACAAAAGTAAAAATTGTGGTAAAGTTACGTAAGCAATGGTATCGATAGAAAAAAGGCATTCTTTTACCTGCCCTTTTTAAAATATGTATCCATATGGCTGGAATTATATTAATTATGGCGTGAGGGCTTTGTCATTAGCTGTAATAAGTCTGCTGTAATGAGTCTTCCTTGGCAACAATAACCACAATTGAAAACAAAAGAGAAATACACTTTTATAAAGTCACAAAGGGATTTAATCATTTAAAACATCATTAATAGTGTTCACTGAGTTTTTGTTATCTACAATCAGCACCATATTTGTATGGGTATGGTGTCATGGAACTCATTTAATTCAATGTCGTCCGTGTACATTACCAGCAATGCTGGTGATGTAAAGCTATTTTGTTGACTTCAATTACAGTTCATATTTTACTTTTTGTGGTCTTCATAATTGATGTCAGCATATTGAATATGAAGAGCTGACTTCAATAAGTTTGCCTTTGTGCATAGTTGACAATATGTACAAACATAAAGACATTGTTTTTCAATAGGTCATATTATATCAAGAATGGTTCTCAAAATGTCAATGGCATCTGTAGTCCCCTTTACCTATACAAACCAAACTTGCATTACAGAAATTAAGGATTGATAATATGTCACAACCTGTCTTTCAACACCTGATCATATAGGACAACTAATGACAGCTCTGTAAATTCACATCACAGAGTATCTAATTTGTATACATATATTAGACAGGTTATTCATCTGGTCTATTTATTTAGTACTGTACCCTGTTTGAATGCCAAGTTATATATTTTTGTCAATTACCTTATCAATTGCTCTTTTATGGTTATAAAACGTATAAGATATGTTACATTTAACAACTCTAAGGTGTACGCACAGAGAGTAGGAAGGCTCCCATCATTCCTTGCGTGCATGTCATGTGACCACATTGCATGTACAGTGCTCTCAGCCTTCTCTGAGCTTCTAATGATGAAGTTCTATTTCCAATCTAGCTGTGAATTTATCAACTTATTTTATGTAATTATTTGCACATTTTTGCAATTTTATATTTGCCTTTAATTCATTGTCCCATCATACCTCCTGCCACATTTTGGTTTTGATTATAATGTATGTATTATAAAACAGTCAAGGCACTAATTACATATATCTTCTGGGTACAGTATGTGAATAGCTCTTCAATTTCACTATTTCTAGCCCTTCGTCGTTCCATAAACAAGTCTTTTTAATAATTTAGTTCTTGGTTCAACTTTCTGCCATCATCTTCCATTCTGCCAACTATTTTTTATTATAACTTCTTAATATACATTAATCTCACTCTGTGATTTGAGCTACGTTCATAACCCCATTCATATTATATGTTTCAATATCACCTTGACATCATCTTGTACGACTTGCTGTTTTTTGACATACAATAATTAAATACCACTCATGAAGAAACTGAGCCAACGTCCTGCACTATGGAACTAATTCCCTAAATCAATCATCGACTACAAGTTAAACCCACGATGGATCAAAGGCAAGTGAGCTTTAACGTTTCAAGCCAGAATAGATTTTCCAGTAAAGAGGACCACACCTCAGAAGCCTAGAGAAGAGAGGTTATGATTGTTGCTGAGAAGATGGGGGGCTTCATGTTGAGTGACAGATTAGGCAGCTTCAACAGAGTGATATTCAACCGAGGAAAATATAATGCCACTCTATTTTGGGTGAAATCTCTGCCGCCAAATCAGTGTCCGAAGATTATCACTGTCCAGATACAGGAAGTCCACAACTCTGTCAAGAATCACTCCATTACTCACAAGGTATATTGAGAGGGTGGAATGATGTTTGATGATATAGAGTACCTGGGCAGGTGTTTAGGTGAGGCAAACCCCAGGTTCAACAGCAAAATCTCCAATTCCCAGAATGAGTATGAGTTAACAGGTTATATATCAGCATACATAACATGGTTGACTAATATCGAGCCATCTTTTGACCTCACCCAGGTACATTCAACCTTGCGAGATGGAAATTTTACTCGTAGGTGCCATAGAAAGCATATCGAACTACAGCGTTTAAAAGAAGATCTTAAATAGTGGAGTAGACAGATAAAATGCCTGTCGGCTAATTGCACTGACATTGTTTTTACACCCAGGAATTCAATTCCTGAGTGATCATGAGCAGCGGGTCAGGGACTCAAAAAGCATAAAATATATCCGAAAGCTCTGCCTTATTTATAGTATAATAGTCCTTGGCTAAGTCAATGAAGTAGAGGCATATATTCCCTTGGGAATCCCTACATCTTCGCTGGTAGAGACAGGCAGAGAATATGGCATCTGTGTAGGACCGCCACTGCCTGAAACCATACTGGACATCCGCAAGGTTCTTGTCAGCATGCCTGGCAAGGCAATTTAAAATAATCATTCGATAATTATCTTTCCCAGGATGTTGACGATGGAGATGCCCCAGTAGTTATTAAAATCACTGCAGCCCCTCTTCTTATAAAGGTGGGTCATCAGGGCATCCTTCAAATCCTGCAAAACATGTCCTGTGGTCCATGCAGGAGCCTCTACAACCAACAATAACAGCCCATACATGTACAAAGACAAAGCCTTAACAGACTTGGGGCAAGTGCTGTTAGCGAGCACCTATAAAAGCCAGCACGGCACGCGAGGGGGTGGGTGGCCAGCACCAGGCCCGGTCGCCTTTGTCTCCCCAGTGGCGATGTTTACACACCACACCAGTTACTAATTTTAGACTGAGTCGACCTAGGGGAGGCTCAGGACCAGTTCAGATAATCGTCACTGGTGTTGGCCGCGAGTGTGAATCGAACTCGGTTCGCCAGGTCCGTAGCGCAGCGTGATAACCGCTACACTACCACTCCTCACATACATGTACATACTCACACATGCACAGACATAGACTATACATACAAAGTTTACACATACAAAGTTTACACATACATACACATAGATACATATATACACACACAACCACAAAAACAAAGATCCCCGTATAGTCTTAACATAACGTTATCGCAAGTG